GTAGTACCAGATTACGAGATAACAAATACTGGTGGTGATTGTTTATGGTTCAACATTATTTATATTTAATATCTAGAACTTGTAGTACCAGAGTACGAGATAACAAATACTGATGGTGATTGTTTATGGTTCAACATTATTTATATTTAATATCTAGAACTTGTAGTACCAGAGTACGAGATAACAAATACTGATGGTGATTGTTCATGGTTCACCATTATTTATATTTAATGTCTAGAACTTGTAGTACCAGAGTACGAGATAACAAATACTGGTAGTGATTGTTCATGGTTCACCATTATTTATATTTAATATCTAGAACTTGTAGTACCAGAGTACGAGATAACAAATACTGGTGGTGATTGTCCATGGTTCACCATTATTTATATGTAATATCTAGAACTTGTAGTACCAGAGTACGAGATAACAAATACTGGTGGTGATTGTTCATGGTTCACCATTATTTATATTTGATATCTAGAACTTGTAGTACCAGAGTACAAGATAACAAATACTGATGGTGATTGTTCATGGTTCACCATTATTTATATTTGATATCTAGAACTTATAGTACCAGAGTACGAGATAACAAATACTGGTGGTGATTGTTTATGGTTCACCATTATTTATATTTGATATCTAGAACTTGTATTACCAGAGTACGAGATAACAAATACTGGTGGTGATTGTTCATGGTTCACCATTATTTATCTTTGATATTTAGAACTTGTAGTACCAGAGTACGAGATAACAAATACTGATGGTGATTGTTCATGGTTCACCATTATTTACATTCATTATCTAGAACTTGTAGTACCAGAGTACGAGATAACAAATACTGGTGGTGATTGTCCATGGTTCACCATTATTTATATGTAATATCTAGAACTTGTAGTACCAGAGTACGAGATAACAAATACTGGTGGTGATTGTTCATAGTTCACCATTATTTATATTCAATATCTAGAACTTGTAGTACCAGAGTACGAGATAACAAATACTGGTGGTGATTGTTCATAGTTCACCATTATTCATATTTAATATCTAGAACTTGTATTACCAGAGTACGAGATAACAAATACTGGTGGTGATTGTTCATAGTTCACCATTATTTATATTTAATATCTAGAACTTGTAGTACCAGAGTACGGGATAACAAAAACTGGTGGTGATTGTTCATGGTTCACCATTATTTATATTTAATATCTACATCTTGTAGTACCAGAGTACGAGATAACAAATACTGATGGTGATTGTTCATGGTTCACCATTATTTATATTCAATATCTAGAACTTGTAGTACCAGAGTACGAGATAACAAATACTGGTGGTGATTGTTTATGGTTCACCATTATTTATATTTAATATCTAGAACTAGTAGTACCAGAGTACGAGATAACAAATACTGGTGGTGATTGTTCATGGTTCACCATTATTTATATTTAATATCTAGAACTTGTAGCACCAGAGTACGAGATAACAAATACTGGTGGTGATTGTTTATGGTTCACCATTATTTATATTTAATATCTAGAACTTGTAGTACCAGAGTACGAGATAACAAATACTTGTGGTGACTGTTCATAGTTCACCATTATTTATATTTAATATCTAGAACTAGTAGTACCAGATTACGAGATAACAAATACTGGTGGTGATTGTTTATGGTTCAACATTATTTATATTTAATATCTAGAACTGTAGTACCAGAGTACGAGA